GCTACGCGAGCGAGTGAACCGTGGAAGGGTAACCGAGCGAGTGAACTCCTGGAAACGACGACTGCGGCGGTAGTCCGTCCAACCTCCCGTGAACCTAACTACGTCAATCAAAACTTGGGCAGCACTCTTTCACCAAACAGCCTCTGAACTGGAACAAGACTGTTTTGTGCTGGAACAGGTCGGAACACGCTGGAGGGGCGTGGAACAAGTTGGAGCAAGGGTCGAATGTGTTGGAGCAAGTTGGAGCAGGCGTCTGATAAGCAGAAGATGCTCCTGCATGGGGTCTAATGTGGCGGAACAAGGTGGAACAAGGCTGTCATTGGCGGACAGCCTCTGAACTGAGCGCGGGGGCGGGCGCCGAGGGCGCCCGAGGAGGGCGCGGTGTGCGATTCCTGGGGGCCCCCCGTCTTCCCTGTCAGTCGAGGCGGACTTCTGGTGGTATATACGTTGGAAGAAACAGGTAGAAACATGATGTAGGAAGGCGGATAAAGTGGATTGGGTCAAGGCCCTCCCAGAGACTTACAACGCACAGCAAAAGCATGCCGATTCTTGAAGTAGGAAGGCGCTTGAAGTAGATTGGGATATGGGAATCCAAATATACTGACTTTCAACGACCGGCGTGTATCAGAAACTTACCACTTCAGCTCAACCACTCCTACGAACAAACTCCAAGCGCCTGAACTGTCTCTACGCTACTGACGGTACGGGGCAACTCAAGCCAGTCAGTCCCTTAAAACTCACGCAAACAACACATGAGATATCGGCAAGCCACGCACACGGCTTTACACTAACTCAAACTTTCGACGATCACCGCGAAATCTGCAAGCGCAGCCGCGCGGCCCTGCGTGGGCTGATTCTCATGCCCTCGAAGACTCTCAACCGACATGCCTCGATCAAGACAAGGACTGACACCGAACAAATCAATAGCCCGCTCCGGCTGGTGGCGCAATTACAACTCCAGGACAGCCGAAATGAAAACTCAATCTCGCGAGCTGCGCTACAGAGAAGCTTCCACTCCTTTCGCTAAGCCCCTGAGTCGCAATCATACAACGCGCCTGCACGGACCCCTCCTCTTGGTCCATAAGTCGACTGCAACAACAAAGGCATTCCTGCGCCGAGACAATGCTTCGCGCCGTGAACTCTGTACAGGCAGTACCTGGCTGGCGTCGCGATCATGATTTCAGCTGCGAGGCCAGCCAGGGCGGCGTTCTCTCCCCCATCATCCCTGGGAGACAGCTCAACACGCGCTTTCCAGACCGCCCCTTCTCATCTGCTTCTCGTGATCTCCTGGGCGAGAACGAAATCTGCCGACTGGAGCGCATGGTTGGCGCGCGACGTCTCGACGCCTGGCTGACTCCCGACGTTCGTTGCGATGATAATGACAGGCCTGTCACCACACTGTGTCTTACACCTGTGTTCAGAAGAGGCTTCTTGAGGTTGCTGACGGCCTCAGTCAACCACTCGACTGCGCGCGCCTTGACACCACCATTGAGGGACCCGTCAGCAACGTCGTCATGATCGTCGGCGCCGACTGCCAACTGGAACTGGGCCAAGAGCACGTGATGGTTGGCGTTGACCCACTTGATGGCGGCGGAGTCTGCGAGCCGGGGATGGCCATGGGCAGCAGGAGCAAGGGCCAGCTGCAACGCAACCAGCGCCAAGCCCCCTCTCGCCAGCAATGGCGGGACTGGCAGGCGCCGCGCTTCCCTGTGGGCGCGGCGCCGACGGTTGGGGCCGCTGGCGCGGCTGGCGCAGGCAACCCGCCAACTGCTGCTGCTGCTGCCGACTGGCTGTGCCTGGACTGTGCGAGGCGTCCATATTGTCCAACACTGCCGCCAGCCGCGCCCAAAGGTCGGCAGCCCTGGGCTCGTCAGCGTTGGCCAGCAGCGCCTGCCTGTGCGACGATTCGCTCGGAGCCTCCTGGCAATGGAGATCAAAGAACCGCGCGAAACAGCCGCCGCAGGCGCAGCTACTCGAGCTCTGCCTCGCACTCCGCGGCCCAGGAGGTGGGCCTTTTGGAGGTGAGCATTCGCCATGCCGCACTTCTTCCCTGACTCCCCGACCTACGCCCGCGAGACAGGAATGGGGTCGCCAGAGTGGAAAGCCTGACGCCACACAACGTTGTCGATGTTGGGAGGAGCGAACAGATCCTCGACTGCGTCCCAGCTGGCCAGCGGCAAGTTGACGTGGGTTTGGAACTGCTCGTGCGTGAGAATTTGGGACGGGCTGTACACGCTTTGGCTAGGCCCGCCTACCCAATTGTCAACAGCGCCACGCTCATCATCCATGGGAGCAGGACAGCCTTCGGACGCATTGCACCTGGAACACTTGTGACGCCACTCCGACTTGCACTTGAACCCGCAGCGCCTGGACAGGCAGCACCAATACATTTGCCACGCGCAGATGATGCCTGGAACGTGTGGACTGAAAACGCACAGACACACACACACACACACCCTCGGACTGACCAACGCGCGCTCAACCAGGGGCGGACCCGGTGACCACGAGGGACTGCCGCGGAATAGCGGTGCCCACCAGGTTCGCAAAGAAACATCAACATCTCGAGCCTGAATGGCCACGGTCTCCTCGTCCTCCTCCTCCTCCTCCTTCTCCTCCTCCGTCTCCTCCCCAAAGTGTCCCAGCCAGGGTTTCCACGACTGTTGTGGGAACACATAGCCCAATAGCTTGGCCAAGATCTGGCCCAGCATTTGGCCACATCGACATTTCCAGAAAGGAAGGGGCCGTAGACGTCTTCGATCCACCGCCCCTGTTGCTTGCACAAGTGTGCTTGACGTGCCTAGTGTTCGGGTGTTTCTTGGTACTTCTAGCACATTCCCAAGTGGCATCTCGGTCTTTTCCAGCCAGCCACCCCAAAACCTGTAAAGTCAATCAGACATGTCTACAAGTTTGCCAAGATAGCTCAGGGTAGCAACCAAAACAACCTTGATACGTATTTCAGGCGGCAAAGATGGACCCAAGGAAGCAAAAGGTGGCCCATAGATGCTGCATAGACGGCTACCCAAGATGAGCCCAACATAAGCCCAAGACTTAGTTGTTCTTAAACACGTTGGGGGCGTTTTTTTTTTTTCCGTTTTCAACTTCTGGCGTTGCGGTCGACCAAAACAGAACAACAACGGTAACGCAAAACGTGCCCAAAACGATGTGACCAGGACCAAAACGTAACAACAACGGCGGGCGAAAACGCACACAAAACGGAGAACCAAAACAGAAAAAAAAACGGCACGGCCTTGAGAGGTTCGTCTGCGCCAGGTGAAAACGGCAGGTGAAAACGATCAGAAAACGGCAGGTGAAAACGATTAAACAACGGATCGCAAAACGAACAGAAAACGGCAAGGCGCAAATCCAAAACAGAAAAAAACGACTCCCAAAACAGAAAAAAAAAACGTCGATCTCCAAAACGAGAAAAAAAAACAAAAAAAAACACGTCCCCAGCGTTTTTAAGATCATCTAAGGCCCAAGACGGCCCACGACTGACTTAAGTCTGAACAAGAGGCTTCCCAGAAGGCCCAAGATGGCTCCAAAAGTCACTCCAGGCAACCCCCAAGAGGCAAACATCAAAGCTGTGCCTGAAAATAGCCAATGATTTCTGGATGAGATTCACAATCTCGCCGTGTCGCCTTTTCGGGCTTCCGACAATCGACAACGAGCTAAAAGGCATCCAAAATAAGTCATGACGGCCTCGGAAGCCCCCAAGAGGGCCCCAAGACGGTCCAAAAGGGCCCCAAGACGGTCCAGGAGGCCTCAATGAAGAGGGCTCCAAGATGGCCCCAGTCCTCGAAGCGGGCCCTAAAGCGTCCCAAGACAGCCCCAAAGCCGACTAGAGAGGGCCCCAAAACGACCTACGAAGGCAAAGAGGAGCCCTCGAAGGCCCACAAAAGGCCCCCCACGACGGCCCAGAGAGCCCCAAGACTGCCCCCCGCGACAGCCTTGAAGCGCCCCGTGAGGACCTCAAGACGGCCCAGAGAGACCAGCCCCCCAGGAAGCCCCTGGGCCACAAAGAGGGCCCCAAGGGGCCTACGCATCCATGGTATCTTACTCGTCCGACTCCTCGCGTATTGAAAGGGCCCTGGGACACACAAATAAATAGACACAACAAACAGGATTCCCCATATCTTCCAATGTTGTCTTGGTTGTTGTCTTCCCCCCGCTTCCCATGGTTTCTCATATTTTCTGGGGAATCGACGATGAATGGTGTCTGTGTTTTTTTCCTCCTGATGCGTGTGAAGGGGTCCTGGGACACACAAATACATACACACACATACAAATATTCCCAAGATTCCACATATGTTCTGGGGTTTTTGTCTTCCCCCCCACCTTCCATTTTTTCCCATATTATTTTCTGGGTGATCGACGATGAATGGTGTCTGTGTTTTTTGTTCCTCCTGATGCATGTCCCTCCCCAGATGCTCCTGGAGGGTATCCGCCACGGCGGGAGGGGCACGCGGTCCGATCGCTCACGTGGCCGGGCGTTGGCCCAGATGGAAAAAAGGGCAGTGGTTCGCCGCAGGCGTCGACGACATATAGCAAACAGCTGACAGGAACAACACGCAACATTTGGGATACAGAGCGGCCTACACATGTATATATATGTATATGTGTGTGTACTGAGATGCAGTCGGGCGTGTCCCTCTACAGGAGGAAGATTCGAGGAATAGTCTGGGGACGCTCTTTTCATGATTTGTTCGATGCTATTTGAGCATGTGTTGAGTATGTGTTATGCTTCGTGCAGAAGCCGCGTGTGTGGGGGCATGCCCGACCTATATATATATATATATATATATATATATATATATATATATGCATACATACATACATACGGGCATACAGATCAGCATGTATACATACATGTACAAACATATGTATATGTATATATATGTATATATAGATACCCATCTATATGTATGTGTATGCTGCTATGTATATGTATATATACTGAGAGAGCCATGCAAGATGCCGACCAGCGAAGACGACAGCACGACCGTTGCAGATCTGTTCCCTATTGCCGGCGAACTTGCAGAAGACGAATTCTGGGTGGCCTCCCGTGGCCACTGCGACCCCTCGCTCGTCGACTCTCCGGCCCCTTGCGTCAGAAGCAACCACACGCGGGCTTTCGTCGGGCCGGGCGAAAGGGGGGGATAGCAAACGGGGGGGTTGAGAATCAGATCACGTAACTGCTTTTCCCAGCGCCTCCCGGCGCCGTGAGGCGCCCATGTATCGAGGAATGGGCCCCTCGGTGGGGCCGAAACCAGCTGCATGCAGCAGATTTCGTATACCCCCCTTTCCCAATCCCCCCTTTCGTCCGGGCCGATTTCGACACCATAACTTGGAAGACAAACAACTGCATCAACATAAGCTGTTGGAACTCCGCGCGGATTTCTTGGACCCACACTGGAACCTCTCCCCGGCTTGCGGAGCACGCCGGAGGGTGCGCCGGAAGCGCCGCCCAGGGGGGGTCCGGCGCAGACCCAAGAAATCCGCGCGGAGCTTCAACAGTGCATGTTTATGTTTTTTGCAACTATTCGACATCTCATATTTGTCTACCCCAGGTCCCAGACTTCCTATCTCGGGCCGGGGGACAAAAAAAACAATGGCAGGATGGCAAAGGCAAAGTAGGCACGGTCGAGAATCAGCTCACGTAGCCCGTTTTCCGGGCGCCGCCTGGCGCTGCGGGGCGCCCATGTATCGAGGAATGGGCCCGGCGGCGGGGCCAAAACCAGCTGCATGCAGCAGATTTCTCGGCTACACGCAAGAGTGACCCTTGGTGGGCGGTTTTGTGGTGGGCGGCTTCTTGAGGGCCGCGAGGTGGCCAAACCTGGGCGCGCAAGCCGCTGCTCCTGCTTCGTTTTCAGCCATCTGGGGACCCATCTGCGCCCGCACCAAAGGTCATTCCGGCGGAAGGTCACTCTTACGTCTACTCGAACTTCGTACCCCCCTTCCCTCCCCCTGAAATAATTGCGACCGCCCGGAAAAGTTGCGAAAAACTGTCGAAACAGTGTCGGACGAGTGTCTCCCAGGGACCGACACGTGAAAATCACTGTATTTCGGTACTTTTTGGGGGCTCGAAATTCTTCTCGTGGTCAACGCGAAATTCGGTTGGAACATCATAATCCTACCCCGTCGTCCGGCCCGGCCGTCTCCAGCGCCCACCCCGCCGGGCAGCTGCAAGCACTCGCCCGCGACAGCCAAAACTCCGGACCCGTGCGGCCCGGAACCAGGGGGGCGGGCCTCCGAGGCCGCCGGGCGAGGAAGGCGGGAGACGGGGAGGGGCCGAGGCGGCCGTGGTCGGACAGGACGCGCGAGAGGAGAGAAGACCCTTCCGACGGCCACGTCGCCATGGGAGTGTAAGAAGGCACGCGTCGCGAGGCACGGGACACAAAGGGTACCCTTGAGCTGGCAGGGTCGACCTACGAATCCGGGCCGACGGCAGGAGACCAGGCAACGGCAGGAGCACAAAAGCTCGGAGGCCCGCGCGGATGTTTGCTTCGGCGCTGGGCCCCCCCTCGCTGGCGCGCGGGGCGCGCCAGGGGCGGTGCCGGAGGCGCCGCCAGGGGGCCAACAACGCCGACACATTTTAGTCAGCGGCCGCGGGCGAGCGCGCACAGCGGCGGGTCCAGTCAAAGCGGGGCACGCAGCGAGGAATTAAACTAACGCAGCGGAGGGAGGCCACACCTAGAGCGGCTAACCGGACCCTCGCGCAGCAGCTCCGCGGCGGACCGGCGAGTGGAGGGGGCAGCTGAAACTGAATCGTACTGCCAACGTGCAGGCATGCATGGCGTCGGAAGTCGGAAGCACCAGGAAGCACAGCGCCGATACGGGGAACGTGTGCGTTTTCTGATTCGGCGTTTCGACATCAGGCGGGAGGGGGGGGAAGGGAGGCGGGGTCTGGCTCCGAACCTCCTCCACTGGGAGGGGCGACGGGGGGTGTGCGAGGGCCCGCGCCGATCGGCAAGACAACGAATAAGAAAACGACCACAATCTGCAAGGATGCTTTTGTGCCTGGGAGGTGGGGGGACCGGGGGGGGGTGGAAAAGGAAAGGAACGGGCAAATGGGAGGGATGGGCACGAGGAGGAGGCGGGGGGGGGGGAAGAGCCCTCCCCTCCGCAGTCGGCGTGGTGACCGCGCTCGTGCCGTCCGTGACCGTTACTGTCGTCGTTGAAGACGCCTCCGCGCGCGGTATGGGCGCGGCCCCCCAGCCCCCGATCCCAGCTCGTCGTCGTCCCGTTGGTGTTTCCCCCTCCTAACCAGCCGCGAAGTTGTCAAGATCCCTGAGATAAGGTGCGACTGATCGCCGAGCTTGTCGAGCTTGTCTGGCGCCGCATGCCCAGCGCGGATACAACAAAATTCGCGCGGAGCGCCGAAACTTGATGTTGGTGGCGTTCTTCTCTTCCCTCCGATGATGACGGCGCGATCCTAGAGGCCTCCTAGATGGGGTCGGCAATGATGGGTCGGAGGGTCGCACCGCATCGCCGATACATCGGCGATGCATCGGCGGCGATGCACCTGCGATGCATCGTTGACGCGGGCGATGTATCGGCGACGTCGACGTAAAGCAAATCGGGCTCCACATCGAGCCGCATCGGCGATGCATCGGCGATGCGGCGCGATCCTCCGATCCCATCTACTCCGACCCCATCTGGGAGGCCTAGAGATCCTGTCAGGGGGGAAGGTGTCTTCCTGATCTTCTGTGTTTGAATTCTATCCTGAATGGCTTCCACTCTCACACGTGCTTACAACCTTCAGCGACGGATGTCTCGGCTCAAACAACGATGAGGGGCGCAGCGAAGTGTGATGAGCACTGTGAACTGCAGAACTCCGTGAACCAATAGGGACTTGAAGGTATACGAGGGGAGGAGCGAGGGGAGGAGCGAGGAGAGGCGAGGGGAGGAGCGAGGGGAGTAGGGCGAGGGGAGGGGAGGAGCGAGGGGAGGAGCGAAGGGAGGACTTGAAAGTATACGAGGGGAGGAGCGAGGGGAGGCGCGAGGAGAGGCGCCGAGGGGGGCCACGCGGAGGCGAGCGCGCGCGCGAGCCGAGGGCACCCCCCGGGGAGAGGCGGGGTGTGGCCCGGGGAGCGGCGGCCTCGGGGCCCACGGCCTCCTCCGGGCAGGCCACGTCGGTGTCCCTGCAGCACTCCAGCAGGAGGCCTCGGGGCCGCGCGCGCGGCGCAGACCGCCAGGCACGGTCGCGTCGCGACAGAACGATAATTAGCACGGGAGGTTGTTGGGCCAGCTTCGGCCCCTGGGGGGGGCCCTCGCGGGGCCTCGGCCTCGGGGCCGTCAGGAAACGACGCCGGGGAACGAGCAAGGACATGAAGAGAAGAGCTCGGAGGTCCGCGCGGACTTCTCGGATCGGCGCTGGACCCCCCTCCCCGGCGCGCGGAGCGCGCCATGGGGCGGCGGCGGAGGCGCCGCCAGGGGGCCCCAGCGCCGATCAGGGAAATCGGCGCGGCCCTCCGAGTTTTTATCTTTACGTCGTTGTTCGCTGCCCTGAAGACGAAGACGCACGCTGCCCTCAGACTCACAACGAGTGGGCCCGACCGAGGAGGAGAGGGAAACGAGGGGGCGGGTCCCAAGTGGAGACGAGCAGGGAGCTGGCAGGTGAGCATCAGCGGCAGGAGGCAGAACAGGACGAGACACGAGCCGGGTCATGTGTTGGGGGCATGCACGTGGGTGAAACATATCAAGTGAGCGCTTTCTTATTCGGCGTTTCGACATTGGGCGGAAGGGGGGGGGGATGGGGGGGGTATCTGGCTCGGGACCTCTGCTTCGTGCGACCGTTTGCAGCAGCGCGTCCTCTGGGGGAGGGACTCCACCTGCTCCTGTACCTGCTCGAAGCAGGCGCCAAAGACAGCCA